GTGCATTTCGCTCGAGACATCCTGCCAAAATTCAAGGAAAATCTAAACATGATGGACCCACGAACCCGGAAAGGGATAAAGACATGTGCAGCATGGTCACGTTTTCACGATACCCAACTGGGCGACATCTCACGAAACATCCCACGAGACACCCCGCGAAACATCCCACGAGACACCTCACGAAACATTCCACGAGACACCTCACGAAACATTCCAAGAGGACACCCCGTGAAACCATTACACGAGAAACCCCACGAACAGGCAACCACCAACCAGACACGGCCACGAAAACATTTCCACGGGGGTGCGTGCTGGGGGGTGGTCGTGCTTGGGGGGTGGTCGTGCTGGGGTGTGGTCGTGCTGGGGCGTGGTCGTGCTGGGGCGTGGTCGTGCTGGGGCGTGGTCGTGCTGGGGTGTGGTCGTGCTGTGGTGAGGTCGTGCTGGGGTGTGGTCGTGCTGGGGTGTGGTCTTGCTGGGGTAGGGTCGTGCTGGGGTCGGGTCGTGCTGGGGTGTGGTCGTGCTGGGGTAGGGTCGTGCTGGGGTGGGGTCGTGCTGGGGTGGGGTCGTGCTGGGGTCTGGTCGTGCTGGGGTGTGGTCGTGCTGGGGCATGGTCGTGCTAGGGTGGGTCGTGCATTTCGCTCGAGACATCCTGCCAAAATTCCAGGAAATCGTACAAAAACAAACGAATTAGTCGAGACATCATCGAAAGTCCTTCGCGCGGGGCGCTTTTCCGCGTCGCGGTCGGCTCTGCAAAACAAGCGTTTCGCTCGAGACATCCTCGGCAAACTCTGCGGAGCAAGCGTTTCGCTCGAGACATCCTCAACACACGAAAAAGTGGCCCGCACCCTGTGATTTATCGATCGGGATTTCAAAAACAAGCGTTTCGCTCGAGACATCCTCAAATTTTAATCCGCCGGCCTCCTTCGACCTCGATATTTATCAGGGAAAAAATCCGCCGGCCTCCTTCAAGTTGGCACCGGGGGATTAGGTTTACAAACTAAAAGAGAACCCTGGGCCGGCGCCCTTTCCGGGAAAAAACAAGCGAATTAGTCGAGACATCCTCGGAATTCCTGCGCGCGGGACGCGGCACGCGCGAGACATCCTCGGAATTCCTGCGCGCGGGGCGCTTTTCCGCGTCGCGGTCGTCTCTGCAAAACCAACGTTTCGCTCGAGACATCCTCAACAAATTCTGAAAACAAGCGTTTCGCTCGAGACACCCCAAATTTGGAAAACCAGCGTTTCGCTCGAGACATCCTCAACAAATTATGAAAAACATGATGGACCCACGAACCCGGAAAGGGATATAGACATGTGCAGCATGGTCACGTTTTCACGATACCAACTGGGCGACACCTCACGAAACATCCCACGAGACACCCCGCGAAACATCCCAGGAGACACCTCACGAAACAACCCACGAGACACCTCACGAAACATTCCACGAGACACCCCGTGAAACATTCCACGAGACACCCCACGAACAGGCAACCACTCAACCAGACACCCCACGAAACATTCCACGGGGGTGCGACTGGGTGTGGTCGTGCTGGGGTGTGATCGTGCTGGAGTATGGTCGTGTTGGGGAGTGGTCGTGTGGGTGTGGTCGTGCTGGGGTGTGGTCGTGCTGGGGGGTGGTCGTGCTGGGGGGTGGTCGTGCTGGGGCGTGGTCGTGCTGGGGGTGGTCGTGCTGGGGCGTGGTCGTGCTGGGGTGTGGTTGCTGTGGTGGGTCATGCTGGGGTGTGGTCTTGCTGGGGCGGGGTCGTGGTAGGGTGGGGTCGTGCTGGGGTGGGGTCGTGCTGGGGTGTGGTCGTGCTGGGGTGTGGTCGTGCTGGGGTGGGGTCGTGCTGGGGCGTGGTCGTGCTGGGGTGTGGTCGTGCTGGGGGGTGGTCGTGCTGGGGGGGTGGTCGTGCTGGGGGGATGGTCGTGCTGGGGGGTGGTCGTGCTGGGGTGTGGTCGTGCTGGGGTGTGGTCGTGCTGAAGTGGCCCGCACCCTGTGATTTATCGATCGGGATTTCAAAAACAAGCGTTTCGCCTGAGACATCCTCAAAGTTTAATCCGCCGGCCTCCTTCGACCTCGATATTTATCAGGGAAAGAATCCGCCGGCCTCCTTAAAGTTGGGCACGGGGGGATATGTTTACATACTAAAAGAGAACCCTGGGCCTATGCCCTTTCCGGGAACAAGCATTTCGCTCGCGACATCCTCAAATTGTAATCCGCCGGCTCGCCTCGACCTCGATATTTATCAAGGAAACATGATGGACCCACGAACCCGGAAAGGGATATAGACATGCGCAGCATGGTCACGTTTTCACGATACCCAACTGGGCGACATCTCACAAAACATCCCACGAGACACCACGCGAAACATCCCACGAGACACCTCGCGAAACATTCCACGAGACACCTCGCGAAACGTTCCACGAGACACCCCGCGAAACATTCCACGAGACACCCCACGAAACATTCCACGAGACACCCCACGAAACATTCCACGTGGGTGCGACTGGGTGTGGTCCCGTGCTGGGTGTGGTCGTGCTGGGTGTGGTCGTGCTGGGGTGGTCGTGCTGGGGGTGGTCGTGCTGGGGGGTGTCTTGCCTGGAGTGGTCGTGCTGGGGAGTGGTCGTGCTGGGGCGTGGTCGTGCTGGGGCGTGATCGTGCTGGGGAGTGGTCGTGCTGTGGTGAGGTCGTGCTGGAGTGTGGTCGTGCTGGGGTGTGGTCTTGCTGGGGTGGGGCCGTGCTGGGGTGGGGTCGTGCTGGGGTGGGGTCCTGCTGGGGTGTGGTCGTGCTGGGGTGTGGTCGTGCTGGGGTGTGGTCTTGCTGGGGTGGGGCCGTGCTGGGAATATAGCGTTTCGCTCAAGACATCCTCAAATTTTAATTCGCCGGCTCGTTATTTATCATGGGAAAAATTCGCCGGCAATTCGCCGGCTCGTTATTTATCAGGGAAAAAATTCGCCGGCAATTCGCCGGCTCGTTATTTATCAGGGAAAAAATTCGCCGGCCTCCTTCAAGCAGGCACCGGGGGACAGGTTTACCTAGTAAAAGAGAACCCTGGGCTCGTGCCCTTTCCGGGAAAAATCCGCCAGCGCCCCTCAGTTGAGGCACCGGGGACAGGTTTACCAAACTACAAGAGAACCCTGGGCCAGCGCCCTTTCCGGGAAATATGGTTACGATCGACCCCTCACACACTTGAGCTATCAACATGCATTGAACACCTTCGTAACCAAAATATTCCCGGGATGATCTCTGAAATCGTGAACATATTTTCAGTTTTTGAAACCGAATCGTTAACAACAAACATAAACCGTAACCAAATCGTAACCAAATCGAACAGAGCGTGTTCGACATTCCCGGTTTGGGGCTCAACAAGGCGGCGAGGGTAAGGGAGCTGGAGCAGAAGCAGGACCTGGGGAAAAAGGGGCGCCGTGGAAGACGGCGAGGAAAAGCAAGCGAGGAGAAGGGAAGACTGATGAGGAGGAGGAGACAGAGCGCTATCAGGTGGAGCAGGACGAGGAGGGGAAATTTTACTCGGAGAGCTAAACGGAGCAAGGCACACGCAACCACGAGGAGGATCGAGAAGGGAGGGATTAGGAGGAGGAGAAGGAGGAGGAGGAGGGGGAGGGGGAGAAGGACGAGAAGGGGAGGAGGACAAGGAGGGATAGGAGGAGGCATGGGCGGAAGCATGACGAGAGCACGAGGGCCGAGTAATAGTATTGACACATTGATGATTTGACGCCAGGGTTCAAGGTTAGAGCCAGGAGGGTTGGAAGGAGGCTTTGAAGGAGGTCAAAGTGGGCAAGGACGAGGATGAGATTTGCAGGAAGCGTCATAGGAATGACAGAGTATTTCAGATAAAGCTTGGAGGGGAAGAGGGAGCTTGAAGAGGGACACTTCGAACGAGGAGGAAGTGCGGGGACAACTGTTTGGATTTCTAAACGCTTCGCGTAACCCCACCAGCCCATCTAGAAACGATGCCCAGAGGAGTAGCCTCTATCAGGGAAGCGGGCAGCACACATATGACCCCAGTGGAGGCCTCTTGGAGCGTCTTGGGGGCGATTTGGCGGGCCCAGGGCAGTCTGTGAGCGTCTTGGGCGCCTCGGGGATCTTCTTGAGGTTTCTTGAGGGTCTCTTGGTAGCCTCTCGGAGGCCTCTTGGGCGCCTCTTGGGGCCGCCTGGGCGCCTCTTGGGGCCCTCTTGGGGCGCTCTAGGGAGCTTTCGGGGCGCTTTTGGGCCAACTTGGAGGACATCGACCTTGATCTGCGAGGACGTTCAAATCAAGTACAGGTCGTCCTCGCCACTCCTCCTCCTCCTCCTCCTCCTCCTCCTCCTCCTCCTCCTCCTCCTCCTCCTCCTCCTCCTCCTCCAGCTCCTCCTCCTCATCCACCATCATCATCCTCCTCCTTCCTCCTCCTCCTCCTCCTCCTCCTTCTCCTCCTCCTCCTCCTCTTCCTGCTCCTCCTTTTCCTTCTCCTCCTCCTCCATTTCCTCGTCCTCCTCCTCCTCCGCCTCCTTTTCCCCACTCGCCCTCCTCACTTGTCATCCTCTTCCTCCTCCTCCCCCCCTCATTCGTCATGATCCTTGTCGCTCTGCTCCTTCCTCCTGCGCCTCTTCCTCTTCCTCCTCCTCCTCCTCGTCCTCCTCCTCCTCTTCCTCCTCCACCTCCTCCTCCTTCTCCTCCTCCTCCTCTTCCTCTTCCTCCTGCTCAGCACACCTCCTCATTACTCCGTCGCTCGTCCACTTGCTAATCATCCTCGTCCTTATCCTCCCTGGTTTTTGAAACCGCCCTAATAGGGTCCTGAAGGGCTTCTGAAAGGGTATCGACATGGTCCTGAGAGGGTCCTGTAAAGGTGTGTCGGGTGGATCCTGTGAATCATTCTGACGCAGCACAGCGCAGCCTAAGACCAATGCGCGTGGAGGGGTTGGGCCCAGCTGGGGCAAGAAACGGCTCAACTCTGGTTGTCCCGTCGTGCCCCCCTCGGATACGCGGGCCAGTCGCCGTTGCCTCTGGCTCGAGACGTCACTGCCTGCCCATTGTCTTCGGAACTCTGGCCGCATGGCCTCGAGCTCTTCGCTGTGGAGGCGCAGAGCGAGCGGCAGGGCAGAGATGGCAGCACTTCTAGGTCTCACACGGGGTAAATTAGACGTAGGAGGATGCGAAGGCCGAAGCACAACGATAATTATGTGCTTGAAGCTCCGATTCTGGGTAACCTGATGGGCCAAAACACAGCCAGAACAATACAGAAGAGACGGGTGACGCGACGCGAAATGCAGCAGTCGGGGCTCCGGCCACCCTGTGCAAGAGGACAACCCTCTCCTATGGGTTGCGCCATAGGCTGCGCCCTCGGCGGCCGAAGGCAAAACTGTATTCAGTTGGTTGCGCCATGGGTTGCGCCCTCGGCGGCCGAAAGTAAAGCCGTCGCTCATCGATTGCGCCATGAGTTGGACCCTCGGCGGCCGAGAGTAGAACCGCCGTCTATCTGCTGCGCCACAGGCGGCGCCCTCGGCGACCGAGACTTCAACCGTCTGCTGCTGGTTGCGCCAAGGGTTGAGCCCCGGCGGTCGAGAATATGAGCCCGTCCCTCATTGGTTTCGCCTGGTTGCGCCCTCGGCGGCCGAGAATGATCCCGTCGTTTCGTGGTTGCGCCATAGCTTGCGCCCTCGGCGGCCGAGAATAGTTCCGCCTCCTATTGGTTGCGCCAATGGTTGCGCCCTCGGTGTGCGAGATAATTCCGTCTCCGATTGGTTGCGCCATAGATTGCGCCCTCGGCGGCCGAGAATAAAACCGTCTCCTAGAGGTTGCGCCATGGGTTGTGCCCTCGGCGGCGGCTGAAAATAAGACCGCCCGCTATGGTTGCGCCATAGGTTGCGCCCTCGGCGGCAGAGAATACCGCCTCCTCTTGGTTGCGCCATCGGTCGCGCCTTCGGAGGCCGAGA